TCCAAAATATAAATTTATTATATAAAATTCCTAAAGAAAAAATCCTAAATATCAAATATCCATAATCTTGCAAAATAAATATATATATATTTTTTATATATTTTTTTTTAAATAAATACTAACAATTAAATATAAATAACATAATAAAAAAAAATACCATCATCTTTTAAAAATATATCTTAATTTTCAAAAAAAAAAATATACATACAAAAACTAAAATATAAAAAAACTAAAGGGTTAAACATATATACAAAAAAATCAAATAAAAATTTTATTATATATTTCCTTTTAATATATTAAAATATATATATAATTAATTTATAATAATTTTTTAATTTTCTTTAATATATCAATATTAATATATACTATAATTTATATTTTTAAATAATAATTCCAAATATTAATATAATAATAAATACATAATTTTACAATTAAATAAAATAAATAACATATTATTTTTTTTAAAAATATATATTCCATAATATAAATATACCTATACATATAAAAATTATATTAAGATTTTTTTAGGGTTTCATTTATAATTTTATTTAACATTTTATAAAAATTTATTTGTGGTTTTATTCAATTTTTTTTTAAATTTTATTTCGGATTTTTTTAAGTATTTATGTAAAATTTCATTTAAAATATTATTTAGGGTTTTATTTTATTTTGGTTTTTATTTCGGGTTTAGTATAAGGTTTTATTTAAGAATATTTTATCAAAATTTCTTATCAAGAATTCCAAATATTCATATAGTTTTTTTTTCAGATTTAGGGTTTTATATAAAATTTCATTTAAAGATTTCTTATCAAGATTTCGTATAAAGATTTTAAAGCATTCATATGGGTTTCTTTAGGATTTCTTTAGGGTTTCATTTAGGGATTTTGTTGGGTTTTATTTAGGGTTTCATTTAAGGTTTCATTTAGGGTTTCTTTAATTTATAGTTTCGTTCACGGGTTCTTCAAAATTTTATTTAGGGTTTTATTCAGGGTTTTTTAAAGTGTCGTTCAAGGTTTCTTTAGGATGTAATTGAGGGTTATGTTTTCTTTAGGGTTAATTTATAATTTCTTTAGGGTTCATTTAGGGTTTCATGTAGGGGGTTTCTTAACATCAAGATTTTTTTTGGGTTTCTTTGGGTTTCACTTAGGGTCTTTAATTTTTAGGGTTTCATTTAGGATACAAACAGGAGAAAATAAAGCAAAAGAAGAGAACAAAAACAAGGAGGCAATAAAGACAGGAAGCACAAAAGCAAAGGAGCAGGAAGTAGAGCAGCAAAAACACATGACTGAAGAAAAGAAAAAATAGAATAGTAGAAGTAGAAAGGCACAGAAGCACAAAAGCAGAAAAAATCAGAAAAGCAGAGAAGCAGGTAAAGCAGAGAAGCATGAAAAGCAGAGAAGCAGGAAAAGCAAAAAGCAGAAAAGCAGAGAAGCGCAGGAAAAGCAAAAAGCAGAAAAGCAGAGAAGCAGGGAAAGCAGAGAAGCAGAAATGAAAAGAAACACGTAAAGCAGAGAAGCAGAGAAGCATGAAAAGCAGAGAAGCAGGGAAAAAAAAAAACCAGGAAAGCAGAACAGCAGGAAAGCATAGAATCAGGAACCCAAAAAAAAACAAAACCTGCCGCGAAAAAAAAACACAAAAATAAATAACCCTCCAAATAAAAGTTGGAAACGCTGAAAGCATCTGTACATGCGTGGAGGACAACTTGTTCAAACTCAAGGTAACCTTCAAGGTGTCTTGCATGTCTTGAATCTGGTCAAAAACCGCTACAGCTGGAATCCACCCATGTATGAGATTCTACAGAATTCTTGCATGTTCTGTCCAACCCTGTGCAGACACTCAACCAAAACCGAAACCATTCTGGCGTAGCACCTTCTTTTTGCCAACGGCAGCAAGCCCAAGCAGTTCACGTAGCATCATTCCACGTTACTCGTAGTATAAGCTGCTTCGATCCAGCATACGGAAGCACTTACAGCCGTCCAACTTTCAAAAGAATCAGCCTTTACTTGCCTGCAACATCTTTGCCGTTGTCACATCCGGCCTTCGCTGCCTTAAAACTCTTGCGGATACGCCGCAATGATTGCAACAACGAAGTTCCGTCAGGCTTTGGCAACCCTCCTACTTCAAAACGGTGGGACAACAAGCTCAGAGATCTTACTGCAAAGCGCACTTGCTTCATGGTCTGTGTGACCAGGGCAGAGTGGCAACCTTCAGTGTCAACCTGGGTAGATTCGCTGGCAACACCAAAATTCAACTAACCTTGTCGCAGCTTGCAGCCTTGGAATATGTCCAACAAAGGGGAAGCAGGAAGAAAAGCGTACTGGGGAGATATTTTGGGCCCGGAATTCTTTTCAACTCGTTGAACTGGAATTCTCACATGCAGCAGCTTCAAATTGGGTGTAGAGCAGCCCATGCCAAATCCATCCAAATCCGAGCAGCAAAGATCTGGAAGATCTCGCCGTCAACAATCACAGAGGCCAACTCCCCAATCAAGTTCACGCTGTCTCTCCAAGTCTCGCGGAGGACAAAATGCCCAGAATCTCGAGCTTTCAAGGTCTGGGCATAGCTCTTCTGCACCTGACCCAGGATATCCCACGGCCGGGTGCAGGGTGGGATCATGGGAACTGAATTCCCTGCGCACCTGTCCCAGGTTGGCCGAACAGTGCTCGTAGGACTCAATGGCCGTAAGCGAGTCCATGAAGGCCTTCACTTGCAATTCGGCCACCTGTCATAAAGCGGTCAGGTCCCAAGCAACCCATCAGCATGCGTCATCCAAGCTTTCAGCTTGTTGGTGCAATCGGCTTCTTAATCTTCTTAAAAGGGAAACTTCCAGCACCACCGACTTGATTAAATACCTAAACGTAAATCATGTTCTATTTCAATGAATGCGCTGGATGCTGGAAACCGCTTTAGTACTGTTAGAAGGTCACACATGCACAAGCAGTGAGATCACAGACCGAAGACCTCCAAGTAGTTGTCCAATGTCGATCGGAGCTCCCACCAGATTCGATCCACCTGCACCAGCGCATTTCGCCGCTCGATCGCGTGGGTTTCCTCTTGCCAGGTGCGCACAGCGTGGCTGGTCAAGTTGCCACGTTCCTTGTAGACCTCAGCGTTATCATGACTTGCAAACCCAAAGCAAACCAAATCAGGTCAAGAAATCGACTTAGGGACCAGAAAGGCCCAGCTGAATCTGATTGAATCTTCCAAGTGACACCCAGAATTTGCAGCTGCTTCTTGGCCAAGACCTGCAAATTGGCAGCTTCTCGTTGGAATTGCTGCCCCAAGGTATGCATCCTGGAAGCGCTGCCAGCACTGGACATCTTTGCATGGAGCATCTCAAGTTGCTGCAAGGCTGCACCTCAGATGTCACTTGGAGAGGTCAACAATGTTTGCTGAGACAACAGGAGACAGCCATTCTTTATAGGAGACTATGTGTAAATCACTGGTCCTGTCGGGTATGAAGTACTGTAGTTAGTTGCGGTGCTTGAATGTGACGACCAATTTTTGTTGCGTGCTCTTCACTTCATACGGCTTGCACGGGGTTTGACAAAGGCTTTGCAGCCAGCACAATTCTCAAAGCTAAGGCTGAAAATTGGGGCAATCAAACAGATCGGTAACCCAAAACCAGTTTCTGCAATAATAATTACCCTCTGGTAATTTAACATAGCTATTGAAAATGGACATTTATAGTGAGTTTTCCCATTAAAAATGGTGATTTTCCATAGCTATGTTAGTTTACCAGAGGGTATACACATCAATTTTTGAAGTCCTTCTTTGCTGCCAGGAAGCTGGCTCTGGAAATGTTTGGCCCACCTGACAGCTCGGCGCTGCGCAGGTATTCCTCCAACGCCTCGTTTGCAGTGTGTCGCGACACGGCGTTCAGGGACGCAGCATCAGCGAAGCCTGGCGAGGTGTACCAAATCAAGTGAAGTGAGTTGCAAGGTCATCAATACAATTCATACCATCTATAAATGTAGAATCATTTGCTTGGACGCGTAAACAATCATTTAGGGCTACTTGATGCTGCTTGTGGATATTTCATGATGCTATCTTACCTGCAGTGCCCATATCAAACCTATCTGAAACCTATCTGGCACATGTGGCCAATCCTTGCCCCAATATAGCGTGCCGCCCAAAGAATTGGCTCGCGCTAGCAAGCAGTTTGCGAAAGGGAAGGGTTCCACAATTCTCTGATCGGTGAAGCGGAATGATGGCAGGCTTTGGGTTTCCACATGAGACCTGCGGTCAGCAGGGAGGAACCGCCAGCAAACTTAGCAACATCTGCGCCTGCCAACTCCTCCAACATGGATCCACTCACCTCGAAGGGGGAAACGTGGAGCAATATGCTGGGATCTGCTATGATCTGCTATGATCTGCTGGGTCTTTGGAGTTCCTGCCTCTTTCGCTTCTTGCAGGGCTGCTGTATTGGAAGTTGCCAACGCGTCTTGGACCATCTGAATTCGGATGCTCAATCGATCTTCCGTTGTGTCCAACTTGGCGGCCAACCAGCCAGTCTCCGCACGGTTGGCAGCCACGGACCATTCCACCATCTTCTTCATGTTGTTGTTCGTCACCTTTCCGCTGCATCTCTGGAAGATCAAGCAAAAACGCTGAACCCTAGTGGCCCTAGTAACATCTTTGATTCGTTGGCTTCATTGGAAGACACTAAAGTGACATCATGAATCCAGAAAGCTGTCAGGACATGACATGTCTAGTTTCATCTATCCGCATTGCTGAAGGTCTGACGACTGCGCCTCCGTTGCAGCCTTCAAATTCCTCAAAATGGCCCGGTCGCCACGGACCACTGCGTCGCGCACACAATGGATGTCGCAGAAGAGCCGATCCAAACCAGCCTCCGTGAAAGTTTTGAAAGCTTGGGAGTCATGGTCATGTGTAGGCTCAATTTTAGGCGATGGAGCAGGTGGCTCTCGGGAAGACCAATTTGGGACACACCAGCAGGCACATTTATATAACTATCTGTATATATATATATGTATTATTTTTATATTATACATATTAAAGTAACATTATATATGTATGTATTTTCACACTTATTCTCGAACTTCCGTGCTGTTGCCCGGTGGTCACGTTCCCCTTCCTGGCCTGGAGGGGATCGCAATCTTGGTTGTCTTCGTTCTCCACTTCGTAGATGCTATTGGCAAAGCCTATGCCCCCATGATAGCTAGCCATAAGAACCATAGCATGCGCAAGGTTGAACCCATCTGTACACCAATCCTCGGCTTGGAATTCGGCACCTACTCCCATGGGCGCTGTCTCAATGTTGGGCGGAGCATCGCAAACAAGATCCATCGACCTCGGTTGCGGTCGCAGGGAAATGCCATGGGCTGGGAGGACACTTATACACTTTAGCATCACCAAGCAGCGCTAGCAAACGCCTTCGCAGGCACGATTGGGTCCGCAAATTGCGGCTTTTCGCAGTGTTGAGGAGTCCTATAATATCCTATATATGCACCACGCCCTGCCCCCCCCTATGGGATGGGTCCTATCTGGTATGGCATGATTGGAAAGTATGGTATGTTTGGTATGTATGGCATGAATGTTTGCTATTGTATGTATGGTAGGTGTGGTAACCATGTTTCATATGTATGGTATGTGTGGTATGTATGATAGGTAAGATAGGTATGGTATGCATGGCATCATTGGAATGTATCGATCGTAGGTACGGTACTTGAGGCCGGCGGTGGATGACGAAAGCTAGCAGGGTAGGAGAAAGAAGGAAGGGAAGAGGTGAGTTGCGGAGGGACTGTCATCATCGTGTCGCGGCATTGTTCCTCGCAACAAGGATGCAACAATGATAGATGATATATGATATATAACAATGATATATATGGGGGAGGGGTTCCTTTCGAGTGAAAAATCACGTGATGTCCTTGGGGAGCCCCGGAATACTTGCTGAAGCAAGAAGACTCTAGCGAGCTGACGCTAGCTTTTGCGATAATGCCAATAATTGCCAATAATGAACAAATGCAATTGAATAACGCTGATGATGATGATGATGGTGATGATGATGATGATGATGATGATGATGAGGGTGACGATGACGATGACGATGACGAGGATGATGACGAGGATGATGATGATGATGATGATGACGATGACGAGGACGAGGACGAGGATGATGACGAGGATGATGATGATGATGATGATGATGATGCTGGTGGTGGGGGGTGGTGGGGGGGGGCCCTTTCGCGTGAAAAATCACGTGATGTCCTTGAGCAGCCCCCGGAATACTTGCTAAAGCAAGAAGACTCCAGCTAGCTGACGCTAGCTTTCGTGAAATGTTAAACACATGTAGTGTTGTCAGACAACACAGGTAGTAAATAGGAAGTAGATGCATAGCACATGTATATATGACTATAGGTAGCACGTAGGCGTCACATAGGTACTTTGAGGGAGTATGTGTGCTGCGTAGGTCGCCTAAAAGGTAGCATGTACCTAGTAAATGCGAAGCTGGTAGTCAGAAATGCTGCCAATAGCTTGCCCATAGAGAGGAAGGGACCTGGGGACCCAGCACTGTCACCCTCCCCCCCGTGGTGTGGTGGGGGTGTGGTACTGTCCCCCTCCCCCCCTGTGATGTGGTGGGGGTGTGGTATGTTGGGTATGTATGGTGTGTATGGTCGGTCTGGTATGGCATGTTTGGAAAGTATGGTATGTTTGGTATGTATGGTAGGTATGGTATGTATGGCATGAATGTTTGCTATTGTATGTATGGTAGGTGTGGTAACCATGTTTCATATGTATGGTATGTGTGGTATGTATGATAGGTATGATAGGTATGGTATGCATGGCATCATTGGAATGTATCGTAGGTACGGTAAATGTTAAACACATGTAGTGTTGTCAGACAACACAGGTAGCAAAAAGGGAGGAGATGCATAGCACATGTATATATGACTATAGGTAGCACGTAGGCGTCACATAGGTACTTTGAGGGAGTATGTGTGCTGCGTAGGTCGCCTAAAAGGTAGCATGGACCTAGTAAATGCGAGGCTGGTAGTCAGAAATGCTGCAAAGACCTAGCAAATAGAAGGGCCTGGGGACCCAACCCAATGGGGGGGTGGGTGGAGAGACGGAGGACGGGACCATATATAGTCTTCTCCGATCCTTAATTATTCTGCGTAGATCTACGTCATTGTGCTATATGCTTCGTTGTGATTCTACGGTTGAAACAAGAGACTCATCCGCTATATCGAAGATGGTGTGGAAGATCTCGGAGTCTCGCTCCCTCTTGGCCAACTCCAAGTCGCGGGTGATGACACGTGCAGCACAGCCATCCAGCTCGGTGTAGGGCATCTTCTCTGGGGTGCTCCGACCGTCACCTCCACCAATCTTCCCGCGCGTGCCCGAGACAGCGGCAGCCACTTCGCAAGGGTTCGTCTCAGAGAGATCATACCTGGATGCTGAAAAACTTGCTACAGCTCAAGCTTTGCCAAAAATCAAACCACAACGTGACATAACTATCATAACTTGACCACAACACAAAAGTTCGAGCGTGGTACACTGGCTCTGCTTTCAGCTGATTTGTGTGTGGCGTCACCGTACCGTCTGCATCCTGACATCAGTGCAGTGCAGGCGACGCGTGATTCGAAGCGATGGTGGAAACTGAAAATTCTCTGCAACGGAAACTTGTGGAAACTCACCGAAACATGGCTGAACTGCTGAACATGTGGAACCCCCATCGGAAGCAAACTTGAAGTCACTTGATCAATGCCCATCGCGTTTGTGCTTTGTTTTCCATGTAGCTCCCAGCCTTGTAGCTTTCTTGGATCGAAGCCCATAGGCGGTTGTAGTCCATACACTCAGCTGCCTCAACAACTTGCGCAACTGGGAAGCTAGAACAGCACACCAAGGAACAGGGAAAGGCACGGAAAGAAACGATTGAGAAGCCACGCCTAAAACTCGTTTTGTACTGAAAATAGAAGAGTGAATATATGGGATTATTAATTTTCATTAATTTTCTAGATTGCAATTCCAACCATGAAAATGATTGAACATGAACATCAACCAACAGCCAAGATGCAAAGGTGGGTTCCTCCGGTGTGAAGGTCTCTAGCTTAGGCACCTTTGGCGCTTTGGGCCGCTTTGGGGTCTTGATGGCGCGCAGGCGTGCCTTCAAAGCCGCAGCATTACCTCCGCCCTGCTTGGGGACGCCCTTGCCTTGAAAGACACCATCGAAATCGGAGACTGCCGCGATATCAAAGGACTGTGACGAGAGACCGATGGGTTGAACCCGTCCATCCACCTCTGTGCAAGTACCGGCCAGACACCACTTTCCAGCGTTGGGATCAAACGACAGTCGTTGCGGAGCAGTGTGACTTTCGCTGCCGGTGTCCAACAAAGATGGCTGTTTGGGCCAAGGGTTGATCATCAGCCCAGAACCTTTGACCTCACAACCACCACAATGGCCGCCGCCGTGGATCTCAACAGAAATGGCACCAGTGCACTGCGACGGAAAAGCTCTACCAGAATCAGAGCTACCCCAAAGAGCATACTCATCAGCCTTGACTCCGTCACAATAAAGGACACACTTTCCGCACCAACCGGTGACACCAAAGCTGTTCCCTGCAGCTACTGTTCCATACCTGCCCACGTCGATTGTAGTCTTATCATTGGCGCATTGACAACAGTCACATGCCCAAGCCGTTAGCGATACCATTGAGCTGGTCAAAACAGTGGGGCTTTCGAAGGTTTGGTCATACATGGGGCGGCCAGATGCATCTTTGCCAACCTGAACTGCGGTCTTTTGAGCGTGAAAGAAAACACATCCATACAAAAGATCCACACAAGAGCGCGGAATAGTAATTTACAAGTAATGCAAAGTCTTCAGTCAAAAAGTGTCAAAACCTGCAGGTAGATATCGAGTTTTGATCGAGTAGTAAACTGAGTTTTGTTCGAGTGACAGGACAATAGAGGCCTTCTATGGAAGATGCTGGGCCTGGCTGCACAGGTATCAAAGCCATCGGGGCTCCAGCAGCATGGCAACAGGTGTAGCGGAAACGGATCCACCTGACAGATCTGACAAGATGAGACAAGATGAGACAAGGAAACGATGAAGGAAACGAGGAAGGAAACGATGGGAAACCGTGTCTCCAACAAGGTTTTTTTTAAATGAAATTTTGACCTTTGACGGTCGCACTTGGGGTTCTTACATCTTCTCATGATAAGAGAAAAATATAGCTACAGGTTGAGGCTTGCGCTTGTGCAAAAGTTGTGTGTGGTCTTGTATGAAATCTTCTGTGGGGTGCCCTTTGAAGTTCTTGAATAAAGAGTGAAGATCTTTACGACAATTTTGTGAGAGTCCGGTAGAGGTCCTGGCATGAAGACCTTGGAAACTTGTAGAGGTTCTTGTCAGAAGGTTTGGTGAGAAGGTTTGGTCAGCACCTGTTCTCCTCAACACTGTTTGGTTTTTTTTAGCCAGATCTTGCCAGAATCCTGGTAATTCTAGTTTTTTAAGGGGCTCACATGGATGGATAGGCAAGTGGATGAATGGATACAGTCAGAATGCCAGTCTGCTCACCCAAGCCTGCCACCCTCCGAAAACTCGAAGTGGAACCCATTCAGCAAGGCGTCCTTCAGAGATGAAGATAGCACACACAATGGAATCCTGTGGAAATATTCAAAGGGCGAAGATTTTTTTTAGGATTTTTTTTGTTTTTTTTTAGGTTTTTTTTTTTGTTTTTTGGTTTCATATTAGTTTTCTTCCATTTTCCATTAGTTTTCCTTCATTTTTTAACAGTTTTCCTTCATTTTCTATTAGTTTTCCTTCAGTTTCTACTAGTTTGCATTCATTTTCTATTAGTTTCCCTTCATTTTCCATTACGTTTCCTTCATTTTCCAATAATTTTCCTTCATTTTCCATTAGTTTCCCTTCATTTTCCATTACTTTTCTTTCATTTTCCATTAGTTTTCCTTCATTTTCCAATAGTTGTTCCATTAGTTTTCCATTGGTTTTCTTTCATGTTCCATTTTCCATTAGTTTTCCTTCATTTTCTATCAGTTTTTCTTTATTTTCCAATTGGTTTCTTTCATTTTCCGTTAGTGTTCCTTCATTTTCCCTTAGTTTTCCTTCATTTTCCATTAGATATCTGCATAAAAGCCAAAACGGCCAAGGCCAAAAACCAAGTGAAACCAAAGCCAAAAGCCAAAAGCCAAGCGAAGCCGCAACCACCAGAAACCAATACACACCAGATCCAACAAGTGTCCTGAAACAAGGGTTTTCAATGATGGAAAAGGGCTAGTCCGGACACTTGTTGAAAAGAGTTTTAGTTCCTCTCGCACAAACATGCATAGAAACCCACGAGTAAACGTCTGAGTTTCTTGCAACAATTGCTCAACCCAAATGACATGAATATAGTTGGCGTCCAGATTCAACAAGTGTCCTGACATGCGTTTTTTTTTCCCTAAAAGGGCTAGTTAGGACACTTATTAATGGGTGCGCATTTTTTTGGTGATTTTTTTACTTTTTTGTTTGTTTATTTTTTTTGGTCGTCCAGGCTCCCTTCCTTGGTTTTTGCACTAAAATCACTCATTTGCTGCATTTTGTAGCTAAAATCTCTCATTCGCACTGTTCATCAATTTTTCGACTGGTTTCAGTTTTTTTTTCAATGGTTTCTATCTAGTTTTCTTCAATTTTTCCATGGTTTTTTTCAATTTTTCTATGGTTTTCTTCTGGTTTTCTTCAATTGTTGCTATGGTTTCTTCGATATTCCATGGTGTTCTTCCATTTTTCAATGGTTTTCTTCATTTTTTCTATGTTTTTCTTCAATTTGTGCATGGTGTTCATTCAGTTTTCACTTGTTTTCATTTCTGGTTCCAGAGTTGTTCATTGATTTTAACATGGTTTTCATTGTTTTTTATTGAAGTTTTCATTTATTTTTGGAAATACACGATGTGCAAACTAGAAATTGTAGATGTAGAAAGGTATATATGCATGACTAATCATGACTATATGTATATGTAGATCAGTGCGTTTACACGTGTATTTAATAGATATAGATATAGATATAGATATAGATATATATATATATATGCAGGGTTTGGTTTAGGGTTTATTTAGGGTTGGCTTAATGGTTTCTTCTGGATTTGTTTAGGATCTATTTAGGGTTGGTTTAGGGGGTATTTAGGGATACAACATGTACATACAAATAGCTATAATTACGTGATTATTTATAGTCTATTTTGGGATCAAAGCTGTGTATAAAAACAACCACAAATATGTCATATATATATATATGTCAGTATATCTAAAAGTAAATATGCATGTGTATTTTTATATATACTTATAGATGCACACTTATATATATATACATTTATGTGTATATACATATTAATATATATATATATATATACCAGTAGTGCCCGCACGAGGCGGGGCGGAAGTTGCCTTAAAGATATATATAAAACCTTTCTCATCTATAGAACTTGCATGCGCCGTGCGCCAGCCAAGCCCGTGCGTGCGTGCACTCTGCGAAAGTGGTGTTCTGTTTCACATGTCACATTTGAAGCTCCACTTCGCCCTTCACACTTCTCCCTGCACTCTTCACACTCCACTGTGCACACTTCACCTTCACACTCCACACTTCACACTTCACACTCCACACTTCACATTTCACACTTCAGAGTCCACATGAGTCCACACTTCACACTTCTCACTTCTCACTGCTTCCTTCACACTCCAAACTTCACACTGCATTCTTCACGCCCCACACTTCACACTGCACTCTTCACACCCCACACTTCATCTCATCTGAGCTCTTCTCACCTTATCCCAGCTGAGCTCTTCTCATCTCATCTCTTCTCGTATGTCATCTAAGCTTTCATGCGTTGGACGTACTTTCAACCCATCTCGGCGCTTCTGCACGTCAGCAAGGTTGAGCGTAACTCATTTCGATTCTTCTACATGCCAAAAGGCGTAGACCATAAAATATTTACTATATTGAGGTCATTAATGCCAAGCGTTGATACATTGCATCAAATCGCAACGGCAAGTGTAAACATGGTGTATACAGTTAGTTGTTACCTGTCAAGGAGATTCACGCAGTCCAAGCTCGACAGCTGCTTTTTTCTCTGCGCTACACTCGGTCTAGGCTTTTGGCAGCTTTTTCGGCCCGCACTGGCACGAAAGGCTGGAGAGCTTTTGACGCTGGAAGCCTGCTTGGCCGTCATGGCACTTCACGAAGCAAATCAGGCAAGAAGTTCTCACTATCCGCAATGACATTGCGGACCCAAGCTGCATCTGCTTGCGACAAACGACATTCTGCACCTGCTGTGCAACGAAACTTCACCAGGCTGTGCAAGATTCTCTTGTTGCACTTCGACATACACGGCCGGCACCTCGACACCAACACCACTGTGACGATCGTGCATATTGCATTTGTCTGTCAGCCTCCGATACCACTTACGGCGAGCACGCCGCACAAGCTGACAATTGTTTGTCATGAGCAATTGCTTCTGGGCAATTGAAATTTGGCACGGGTGCCACTGGTGATCCAAGCAGCACGCATTCAGTTCGTCCAACAGTTTGACTTCCTGGGCCGACAACTGCGTTCGTTTGCGAGAGCCATCGGCGTTGACTTCGTAGGACACCGATACTCCATCAGCAAAAGCACGCACAAAATCCATGTCCGGCAACATCTCTTGCTGACTGAAGACATCATTCACCATCTTTGGCGTGTTTTTACTTGCGGCCCGCACTGGCACGCAAGCAACCGCCGCTTCGATATCTTCAGATCCATCGGACTCGGAGTCCGTGTGCACGGGCGACGAGCAACGCGCCCTGCGAGCAACTCCGTTCTCAACCTCTTGAAAGCTCCACTTCTCCGCTTTACCCAAACTCCAATCAGTTAGATATTCTTCATGTACAGCTGCAAACTGCTGCGCGATGTGAAGGGACTGTTCACTAGGGAATTCCATCTCTGGTGCTGTGGGATCAACACGCGGCATCTGTGATCCAAAGTTGATGGAGTGCAAATGCATGATGCCGCCTGCACCCCACTCGAAGATTCCCTGGCCGTCTTCGTACTGCAGCACGTACTTGTAGAAGAGCTCCATCTTGTAGCCCGTGAACCATGCAACCACACCCGGATATCGCAGCACCCTGCGACGGTGTGGGTCCAAATTTCTTTCTGCAGGCTCCAAAGGATCTCGTCGTCCGTGCCTGCGCACAAGCACAGCATTTTCGTAGGTCTCTAAACAAGCGGCCAAATCTTGCCAGTGTAATAAATTGCTGTGGTTAATGATAATGTAGTAAAATGACATGGAATTTCACCTCCTGCAGCCAAGCGTTTCACTCGACACAATAAAGCTTGCTCCAAATCATGCGCCCTCGCCACACACTCCGCGCCGCGGCCCGCACTGGCACGCGATGCAGAGCTCGCATCACCTTGATTCTGCGATGAAGTAGCCAGACCAGCTCCTTCTGTGCCACAACCTTCTTCCGCGCCTTCAGCAGCATAGCCTCCACTGCCAGAAGCATTCATCTTTCCACAAACAATCTCTTCGCCCAAGACTTGAAACAAAGCTTCTGCTTTGGCGCACGCCATTTCCAACTCTGCCACTTCGCCAGCGGCTGCTGCTTCACCAGAAAGCTGTTGCATGATACCTTGCCTTCTCTCCAACACTGCAACAACTCTTGCGCTTCATCCTCCAAAGACATTTGCTCGATTTGTTCCACCATAGCTTCCAAGTCACTGCGCTGATGAATTTTCTCTTGCGCAGACCCTGCCAAGGAGTGCTCGAAAGCCGACACCAAACGAACAAAATTGGCTTTGCCCATGGCGAGAAGATCTTCATTGGTATGTTTCACATTGCTGTTCATGCCCACCTGCCTCGTCATAAAATATGTCCGCCCTCGCAGCGCCTTCTGGCGCAAAGCCGTGTTCAAGGCAAAGAAATAGAAGCGCGGATGCGCCTGAAAGCGGCCATCGGAGCGCCGCATGAGGTGCTGCAGCCACTCCCAGAACGGAACCTCTGCGTCGTTCTGCCGGCGCTCAAACACATGCGCCCAGTAGTCTCCCTGTCCAAGAGGAAACAATTTGAGAAAACCGGCAGCGATGTAATACGGACTATCTTCCCGAATCAATTGGTTCCGCGACCGCACTGTCGGCGGATCCAAGATTGGCAACCCCGCGACCCGCGCGGCGCCAAAACGACGCAACGACACATCGCTGCCATCCTGCCGGTTTGCTTGGCAAACTGCTTCCCAAAGATCTTCTTTCATAGCTTCCTCCGTCTCCTGCCCACCTAAATCGTCCGGCGCCCACAAACCGTCTTCGGTCATCGGCTGCTCCCAAGTAGCTAATTCTTGCACTGCAGTGAACTTATCGTGCAACACGTTCTCCACATCTGACTGCGCTTTGCCGCTCTTCAACGTCATGTATGCGGCCAACCCCACCATGCTCATTTCTTCCTTCGAACCAGCAGCTTCTTCCGTCTCAGTGTTGATGGCTTCACGGAGACTCGACCACGTTTGTTCCACGCGCAAAGCATCATCGGCGACATCCTCTGGCTCGTGCAACGTGCGAACCAAGGCTGCCAGCTGCAATTCCAGGCGATTCCAGGCGCGCAGACAC